TGTCAGAAAAGGAATGTCACAGCAATGGCAGCAGCAACAGTGATGGCAGAAGAGCGAACATGAACTAGCAAAGAGACTGGTGCTGAACCCTCCAGCAAGACATGAAGACAAAGAAGCAAAAAGGGAGGAAATCATTTTTCTCTTTTTATATGGACCACCACCAGAAGATATCGTGTGCATTTTGAGTGAGTCTTCTCATTTCAAATAACCTGACCAAGAAAATGTCTCATAGGTGTGTCTATGAGCCTGTCTCTTTGTTGAGTCCAGATCCAGTAAAGTTGACACCTAAGATGAATCATCACAGGTCCACTCTGTGACAGCCTTATAACCATTCTTACTCCCTTATGCAATGCTTAATTTCCAAAATGAAAATAATAAAAAATAATCTCAGAATTCGACCCAAGATGATAAAGCTATACGATGCAAAACTGCAAATTAACCATTTTCCCTGAGGATAGGCAGCAAAGTCCCTTAAAGAATACTTAGTCTTTCAGTGTCCCACAATGTAAATATGATATCATAGAAACATTATCTGATTACCAATGTTTTATTACATGATAAAGAAACAAAGGAAAGTACACACAAATATCTACTTAATATATGTGTAGATGTGCACAAACATGTTCTTGACAAAATAGGATGGGAACACTCCTGGTAATTGCAGTCTTCATTTCTGTGCCGAGCTGTGTGTTCTTGGCTAGTATTGACAACTGCCTTCCTTTACTCCCTACTCGGTATTTCCTTTGCTCTCAACAAGTCCCTCAGCACATGGTGGCTCTTTACTCAGAGGAGTGACCTAAACTTTCATTGATGAAGTATTTGGGCAATTTATCATTTCATCTGGATTAGGTTATTGTAGTTTTAGTAAGACCCCATTGACCTTAATCATAGGCCATGGTAACACCAAGATATGCCCTAAAGGTTCTACTGCACACTTGAAGTATTCCTCTTTCTTACCTCCATTATAGAGAAGCAGTACAATTTCTACCCAAATAGTCTGGATCAGTTACCCTTCTAGCACTGTTATTTCTTTCTTAACCTGTTGAGTCAAGGTTATAGGGAGCCCAATGTGACTAGGGGAAATCAGAGCTTTCAGTTCAATGAATGTGTATTGTGACCTTCTAGCAAAAGCATTTCCTCTTCTGGAAAATTTTTGGCCAAAAGAGCATAAGGCTGTGAGAATAGAAAGCATTTTTTTTTCTAATGGGTCTCGGAATAATGGAGAGTGATATCATTCCCATTTTTACTTTCTGATTCCCAGACCCATGAATCCTGGCCGCTGAAAGAACAGTGTCATATATTGGATGCTAACTTGGAGCTCATAAAGCCTTTTAGACAAACCCCATTGAATCCTTCAATCTATTACCCCCTAATTGGTACTGCACTGCATCTTTAAAAGGCCATTCCACTGTTCTAGCAAACCAGCTACTTTCGGGTGATGGGGGACATAGGAAGACCTGTGGATTTCATAAATATGAGCTCACTACCACACTGTTTTGGCTATGAAGTGAGTTCCTCAGTCAGAAATGACATTATTATGGTGGACAGGATATTCTGTAAGTCCATGGATGGCTTTGGAAAAGGAATTATGTGAAAGAAAGACAAACCAATAATAAGAAGAAGTGTTTATTCTAGTAAGGACAAGTGTTGCCCTTTAACTGATGGAACTGGTACAATGTAGCCTACATACCACCATGTTCCTGGCATGACAATCCCCAGGGAATTATACCATATCAAGGACTCTGATGCTGACATATTTGACACTCAGCAGCAGCTATATCTAGGTAAGCTTTGGGGAGTGGAAGTCCATGGTGTTGAGGCAAGCATAACCTCCATTTCTGACACTGTGACTATTTATTTATGGACCCATTGGACAATGACAGGAATAGCTATAAAAAGAAACTGATACTAACCGCAGAAAGGTAATCCTATATGCTTGATTAGTGCAATCCTCCTCTGCTAAAGCCATCCTTTGATGAGCATGTAATGCAAGTATCTTCATGTCCTGGCCCATTTGGAGATACCTAGACACATAGTTCTTTCATAATGTCTTTTTAATCAATTTTCTAACCATGTTCTTTTCAAGCCACTGATCATCCATCCAGTCAAACTTATAGGCTATAGCATAAATCAGTATATAGTTACATGTGTGGCCATTTATCCTTTCAACCAAGCTACAAAACCATTGAAGTGTTCAACATTCTACCACTGTGAAGATCTGCCTTTGCATCAGTGTCCTTCAGACTTGACCAATAAAGAGGCTGTAACACTGTGGCAGAACTCTTATGGGTGGTACTTATGGAGTATACAGGACCACATCTAAAAGAGGTCCTAGTCTTCTCTTCCTCAGCTAATTACTTGTTGGTATGCTGTTTAAACTGGACATTCAGGACCCACATAAATGTAATTGCTAATCTTTCCAAAAGATGGGATGGTCGTTTAGGGTCCCTGCTTCACAGAAGAAACTGCCAGACATTCTGCAGGAAACAGAAGAAAGCAACTGATGAACTTTGCCATTACAAGGCAGAACAGATCTTCAAATCTCCTGTTTTGTGAAAAAAATCTGCTTGATACTATGGGCCTGTAGGCTAAAGATGGATACCCAAACATTACAAAAGAATTTTGGGTGACTTCCAGGCTGCAAGAAATCTCTGTCAATTCTAGAACTTTGGAAGTTGCTTACACTGCACTTCCTGTTTACTTAGCGAATATTATATCTTTCTGGGATCTTTGAAGAGTTGAAGATTATGTATCTAACTGAAATGTATCTCTGTATATCTAGAAAACCTAACTAACATAACTAAAAGTTTGATATTATTATATATGACTATTAACCTATATTTCTTAATTTTACATTACATTTTAAAATGAGATGTTTACAAACATAATACCTTAAATAAGAGTAGAAATATGTATATACACAATGTAAAAATTCAACATTAAATTTGTATCACTAGACAAAGATCAATACCAATGCAAAGTATTCATTTCTATATCATGTATACCTCACTTTCACTGCTTCTCTATGTCTGACTGACTGGTGTTCACCTGCCTTCAGGCCCCAAGCACCTCCCTCATTCTCTCCTCCTTCTTCTCTCATCCTTCTTCTCTCCCAAGCCTAGATTTTTTTCCTTCTATTTATTCTCTCTACTCAACAACCCAGCTTGTCCATTCTCCTGCCTAGTTATTGGCCATTCACCTCTTTATTAGACCATTCAGGTGCCTTAGACAGGCATGGGGAAACATATGCAACACTTCTTTACATAATTAAACACAGGCAGCATAAAAAAGTAACACACCTGTACACAGTTAAAGTACTATTCTGCAGCACAGACAAATGTAACACAACTTTGCCTAGTTAAGATAATATTCTACAACACAGGTGTAATGATTTATCTTTCATCTTAGAAAAGATATCTCTGCAGGTCACCAAGATGATTCCAAATGCTAGATACAGAACTGTAACATTTAATATTTTCCCTGCTAGGTTTGGGTCTTGCTTTGGTTCTATCTTTCCTTGCTCTCTCTCTCTCTCTCTCTATATATATATATATAATATATATAATATATATATATAATATATATATATCTTGTTCCTCCCTATTGGAGTGGGAACATATGCTCTGCTATTTATGTGGGGATGTGTGTAATTTTTGTAAATTGCACAGAGTTCACAGTTAAGAGATGGCCTCGAGTCTCAGAAGATATATTGGACTTTCAAACAGTTTATGCTGATTTCATATTGGTCTTAATAATAAAAACCATTGAGTCAGATATTAGGAGGATAAAAGCTGAAAGATCAGAGAAGCAGAGCAGACAGCAACTAGTTCTTACCTCTATGAAATGCTCAGACCAAATGGAATAGCTTGTCTTTACAAGTCCTCAGAGAGAATATCATGTGTTCTGGTCCTCCTGCCTTATATTCCTCTCTCTGCCCCACCATATCCATTGCAATCTTTACCTCCCTAGTGCTGGGATTAAAGACATGTGACTCACTAGTACTGAGATTAAAGGTTTGAGGCATCACCGCCTGACTCTGTTTCTCTTTTAGACCAGATCAATCCTGTGTAGCCCAGGATAGCCTTGAACTCATAGAGATCTGTCTGTCCCTGCCTCCCCGAACCCTGGGATTAAAGGTGTGTCTCACCACTGCCTGGCCTCAATGGCTAACTAGTGAGTGGTTTAGCTCTGCACTCTGATCTTCAGGCAAGCTTTATTTGTTAAACCACAAACAAAATATCACCACAGAACAGTGCTGGGGTTGTTAGAGTACAGGGGCCTTTGAAGTTGGATAGGAGTCAGGGGTGGAACTTGGGATTCGATTGTGATTTGTCCCCTATAGCTCATATTTTGAATAATTGGTCCTTAGCTGGTGCTGCTCTCAGACAAGGCTATAGGGCATTGCTTCGGGGAGTGAGACACTGGAGTAGGACTTAAGACCCGCCTGCTTTCCTGTTCCCCTCCCTCTGTTTCCTGAGCCTGCACGCAGTGTAACTAGCCATCCTTCTGCTCCTGCCACCGTGCCTTCCCCGCCTACTACTATGTCTTCTCTGTCATGATGGACCGTAGCCTGCTTGGAAGGCAAGCACAAATCAGTCATTTCTCCCTCTAGTTCCTTTCGCCAGGGTATACTGTCATAGCAATGAGAAAGCAATTAACACAAGGTGCCAAGGAAGCAGTAGCAAGAAGGGATCACACGTGTTCGGGAGGGTATGCCAGAGAAACTGTGGCGCATTTAAGAAGAAGCATCTTGACTGGCAGGCAGGATTCAAAAAGGTAGAGAAGAATGAGAGAAGGTCTGCAGATTTCTAGAGGAAGAGCGGGGAATAGGAAAGGGCCCTGTGTATACAGAATAGCTGTCCTGTGTGGAGCGAGGGTGTGAGCTCTTGGTGTTGCTACGGGTTGCATATTATTTTGCAAGAAATGTATTCCTGGTTGTAACAAATAAAAGTTTGATTTGGTGTAATTTCCCCCGCCAATTAAAGTCGAATTTCTTATAGCTTATCAGGAAACCACCGTTCTGCTGAGAGAGAAGTCAAGCAAGCAACAACACAAGAGTAAGTCCTATGAAGAGAGCAAGCAGGGCTTCAGCAAATCAGACACCATCAAGGCCCACCACGGATTGAGTTGAGAAGTGGAGGCTGCATAAATGTTGCTCACCAGACAAAGGAACCTAGTCCTGAGTTGTGGGAACAGCTTGTGCCAAACCAAGACGGGAGACAGACCAGACGCAGCCTGTTTGTGAGGCTGCAGGTGTTAAGTACTGCAGAAGACAAGCGAGCAGGTGAGACTTGATAGCATGGATACCAGGGGCCTACCAGAGGTCAGCTGCTGATCAGACTGTGTGGTGTTAAAGTGAGGATGTGGTAGGGTGCCCTGGCCCTGAGCAAGCATGGGCTGGCTTCCCAGGGCAGTCAGCAAATCAATTACGCCCTCCACCGACTCTCGCCTTGTGTATTTAGAATGCATGGTGTTTCCCTGCCAAACATCTGCTCTCGCTATTAAGCATGCCATGGTAACCATTGCACTCAGTGCGTCAGCGCCACCAGGATTGGTAATAATCACAAGTGTCAAAACCGAGAAGAATGGGGAAGGAAAGCTGTGCAAAAATCCAGCGGCAAGATGATTGGACTGGAGCACCAGTCTGCAGCTCGCCAGCTGCGCCTTCTGCTGCCCTGCTGGGGGCAGGGGAGCTGATATGGCTCTGGCCTCCTTTTGCCCCTTCTGTTGATCCCACTCCCTGTATTATTCATTCATCCACTGCTTCCCCCGACGTTGGAAAAGATGCCCGGCCTTGCCAGCGCAACATATGTGCCCCTGCGCCATTGTGTATGATGAATAAACCCGCCAAAAGCTCACCAGACCTAGGGGCCTCTGGGTGCAGACCCAGCATTGACACAGGCAGGCAGTGGCGTGTCCTGGCGGGGGGCCACAGGAAGACACAAACCAGGCTTGGGCTTTCAGCATGACTACTTCAGAGCCGGGAAACCTTGGCAAATCTCTTAGCTCTCTGAGCCCAGCTTTTGCTCCTTTGGGGGGGGGGAGGAGTAGCAGCAGCGCTTATCAACTACATTCGCTTGGACGCTTAAAGGGAACCAGCAGCCTTTCATGGGAGCTCAGCATAGTCCTTCAGGGTCAGCTATATGATTTCCTTTTTAATTGCACTCTCAAAAATAGAGATAAATAAAATTGCTAGGCACTATGCCCAACTCTATATTCTATTTATGGGATCTCCACAGCCATACTCAGGAAACACGACTGATACTGTTTGACGCGGAGTTTGAGTATAGGAGATGGTTAAAGGTTAAAGTGGCTTGTCAAGCCCTCAGGTGGTGGCAATACCAGGCCATAGGTTGATCTGGGAACTCAATCCCAGCCCAGCTTGCTGCATCCGCCACCCTGCTGGCCCTCTTCTTACCTTGTTCTTTGCTACAGTGAAGGAAATACTATTTATAGGCCCCCGTTCGGCTACAGGAGCCATAAAAATGAAGTTATTTCCTCTTCCAAACAAAAGCCCTTCGGAAAGGCAGAGCCAGCTCCCACTGCCCCAAATCTGTGTTCCTTCTGACCAACCGGTGCCAAGTCCCTGGGCAAGTGCCCCCTTCTTCAATTATTTCCCACTGGACCCTTCCACTGTGGAGAATGCCTCTCTCAAAATGAGCTCAAACCTGTGCTGTGGGATTCCTGAACGGGAGCTAGGGCTTCCCTTTGAGCGAGTCAGCACATTTGGAGGTTCACAGATAGGCAGGCTGGCAAGGTTGGTGCCACCATCTGGAGCATGCCCCTTTGGATGGCTTCTGAGCATCCCTGGATACTAGTTCCAGCGAGGCTCGGTAACGTGGGTTCCAGCGCCCTCAAGTGGACAGGGAGTGAAATCTGTGAAAAGGACACTTAAGAGGACTAAAGAGAACTCGCATTGTCTTTATTAACAAAGTAAGATAAGCATAAAATGCAATTCCTTCCTCGCGACACAGCTAGTTTTTGACTCTCTTTTCAGTTTGGGTGAAATGGGTGATCACCCTGCAGAGGTCCGGAAGCGAGCAGGAACTGACCACCGCTGCTGTTTCCTGTGCCAGTCAATGAAAATGCATACGTCACTTAACCCCCTGCCCTGCTGCTGGTAAATTCTCACCGACAGCCCACTCCAGACACAGTGTTCTTCCAGCTGTGTTAAGGAGGTAAGGAGAAGGCAAGTGTGAGCATCCGGGTCAAAGATTCTAACCAAAGAGATGCTTCCTTCCGTCGCTGCCTCATAGAATCTGGAAACTGGATCAGTGAGCAACCATGTGAGAGCAAGGAAAGAGCCCTGAGGCAGTGTAGCCCAAGGCGAGAGAGCAGCTTGAGTCACCACCTCAGGGCTGGATAGATTCATAAATGCAAATGGTAACCCCACAATCCTGCTTAGGCTAATGTCTGGGAGCGTTTTTCCTGGAAAACCCACTGGGAATCACTGGGCAAGCTCCTCTAAGAGCGCCCCTTTTCAGAGAGTGTTGAGGTGAGACTGTCCCCAGGTGCATTCCAGCTGGATCCAAATCCTGTGAGACTCAGGAAACAGCAGTCTCATGACCAAACTTTTCTAGCAGAGTTGGAAAGCATCCAATCCTTGTTCAGCACCAACCATCCCCCATACACTTGGTATTGATACCATGGCTTTCTTCCTTCTTGGTAACAGGCCAGTCTTCAACCTACCAAGATTGGGCACACCATGGAGTTACTTCTGTTGCCATCACTTTGCGAGAAGAACCAAGGGATCTGATAGGCAGGAATCACACTCTGAAGTGACAATTGACTTACCCTCATACCCAGGGTTATAAGCTTTCCCTAATTAAACCTGGCTAAGCATGCTGTTGAGCTGCTGAGCAGCAGCCATGATTGAAGCACCTGCAGCCACATGCTCAACACAAAGAAAAGGTAGAATGGCTGTCTTAGTAATCCTCAAGCTGCAGCATCCCTAGTGAAACCATTTATACCCATCTGATGTCACTATTGATGGTGTCATGTGACATGTAGTTCACATGACACCACCCACCACACCACAATGATAGCCAGCTGGGATGCTGCCTTTGCTGAGCTTCCCCATGGAGGAATGCCCTAGAATCAAAGTTAAAAGCCTTCTCTGTTGTTTAGGCTGTGGCCCTTCCCCTGTCTCTCCTCTCAGGAACCCTATCTCCTACAAGCACTCTAGTAGCTAGCCTCTCCTGGGAGGGTCCAGTTGCTTGTACTGAGGGAAAACAGACCAATAAGGGATGTAACAGGTGAAGTAGGGGTCAGCAAACAGATAGGAGACAAGAATGGAGACCAGTATCAGGGAAGGCAAGGAAGGGGGGAGGGATGAAGAAAACACAATGTCATAACAAGTCTAAATAGTTTCATTTGTCTTAATTAAGATAATTCCATCTTATGTTTGGTAACTTGAAATCTTCATTGAGCAAAATCTTTTTTTGAGGAATAAAAATAGCAGGCACCACCACAAACTTTCTATTGAGAGTTGAAATATCTATTTCAAGTAAGCAATTTCTATTGACACTCCCACATCACTATTTCACCTCTGTCATCTTTAACACTATTATCGATACATGGAGATCCAACATGGAATGGTCTGAATGCCTTTCATATCCCATTTGTTCAGGAAAAAAAAAAACAGAATAAAGAAAAAAACAGAATAAAGACCTTGTACAAGAAACTAAGATAAGACAATCCAGGGACTTCTTGGGAATTCAAGACAGACCTGCCTGGGCTGGTTGACTGCCCAATATCTTGACATTTCATATATTGAATATATTGTAGATTTTTGTATATTGAGTTTTTGTACATTGAATATTTTTTCTCATTTTCCCTCAAGACAAAATGACTAAATTATAGGTGTCTAGAAATATTTTCCAGTTTTATTTAAAAGGTTACTATTCATGGCTTAAAATACCGTAATCCTGCTATGCCCACACCCAGTACCTACCTCCTCTTCTCATGTGATGGAAATGTGAAAGGAACTTTATCCAAGACTTAGACGTGGGAGGTAGGTACTCTACTGAGTATGTTGCCCATCCCATTCAAACTCAGATCCCAGATCATCCCAAATTGCCCACAGATACATGCCCAAAGACTTCAAACACAAAGCCAGAAACATCTGCAGGAGGCAGATAACAAGACAGGTCCAACAAGCAGAGACTGTGTGCCCAGCCCACCTGAATGCCCTGTGTCACAGAATCCCTTTCCCTGCTGCTTGAGGGCAGGCCGCAATAATTCATCTTATGGGTTATTTTCTTCTTTAATGAAAAGGCTGGCTCTTAAAGCCCCATCTTCTTTCAGCCTTCAGCTCACACTCAGCTAAGCTCTGCTAAACACTCTTTGGGTAGAAACAGCTCCTTTCCAAAGAGGAAATTGTATGTGTATCTGTGTAAAGCTCCTTTGAGAGGTTTGCATAAACTGCTTGTAATTACGTGGCTGGCCTATCCCATGCCTGGCTTTGTGGTGCCTCCAGCCAGAGTTTTCTTTTGTGGTTAGTTCAGCTCATTCTTAAAACTCCTGTAGGCTTTTGAATCTGGATTTCTCAACCTGAACGATAAACTGCATCTTCTCAAAGGCTAGCTAGTTCAGAGGTGGAAGCCAAGGTCATATTTCAAAGAAAGAATAAAAGGGGGAAGGTTTTTGATTGGTATGTGGAACAATTTCGTCCAAAGACCTAAGTTTCGATATATACAATAGCTTGAGACATAAAGGCTACAACGATATGATAAACAACCACCCAATAAAGCAATCAAAGGTGCTTGGTTAGGTGATATGGATGAAAATGTATGTTTTGTACCTTTTTCTCTTTAATCTGAACTCAGACAAACTGATTGATAAGTGAAGACAGTGAGGGAGAGCCTTCATCTCCTATTCCTGCTAACCTTTTTGTAAAGATGTTTAAAGATGTGCAGCCCATTTGGACTTTCAGTCAGCCCCATCTGCATTGTTTCTAGTGAAGCCTACTAGAACACACCTAGAGGATTTGTTACCTTTCCAGCTGATGCGTTAAATTCCACGTGGCATTTGGCAAAACCAGTGTAATAAAACAGAAAAAAAACAGCTTTGGAGTTAAATTGATCTGTTCCTAGTTCTGTCATTAACAACTACACATCTCCTTGATCTTCAGTTTCTACATCTGCAAACCTGGAACAGTAAAGTAAGAAATATCTGCAGCATGGGGCTGCAATGATAATTCAGTTAAATGAGGCAATAAACAAGTTTAGACTGCCTGGAATAGATCAAGTTTTGCATATGCATTTCCAGAAAAGTATATAAGGAATGCTCAGGCCTGGGAAATGAGGTAAGCTGAGAATTTCCTTCCTTCTTCCCTTCCATCTTCTCTCTTTTTCTTTCTTTCTTTCTTTCTTTCTTTCTTTCTTTCTTTCTTTCTTTCTTTCTTTCTTTCTTTTCTCTCTCTCTCTCTCTCTCTCTCTCTCTCTCTCTCTCTCTCTCATGTGTGTGTTTCCCTTCTTTTGATTTTGCTAGTGTGACAATATTTCCTGTGTTTTCATGGGTTTAGTTACCCTCCTTAGGTTAGAGTTTTCCTTCTAGTACCTTTTATATGGCTGAATTTATAGATAGATATTGTTTAAATTTGACTTGGAATATCTTATCATGGAATGTCTTATGCCTTAGTTAGAATTTCTATTTCTGTGCAAAGACATTATGTCTAGAGTAACTTTGATAAAGGAAAAGACTTAATTGGGGTTTGGTTAAAATTTCAGAGGTTTAGTCCATTTTCATCATTGTAGGAAACTTGGTGGCATGCAGGCAGACATGGTGCTGAAGAGGAGCCGAGAGTTCTACATCTGGATCTACAGGCAACAGGAAGAGACTGTGAGCCACTAAGCCTGGTTTGAGCTTCTGAGACCTCAGTGCCTGCCCCCAGTGACACACTTCCTCCAGCAAAGTCACAACCACTCCAAGAAGGTCACCTCTCCTAATAGTGCCATTCCCTGTAGACCTACAGAGGGGACCATTTTATTCAAATCACCAGATCTTATTTTCTCCATCTATGGTGATCGAAAGTTTTGATGCATGCAGTAGTTTGGAATGGCATCTGTAGTCTCTAAGATTCTGTACCACAACACTTCAGGCCTTCTCCCTGTTAGAGTCTCCATTGAGAAGTCTAGTGTAATGCTAATAGATCTGCATTGATATGATATTTGGTCTTTTCTCTTGCAACTTTTAATATTCTTTGTTTGTTCTGTTTGCTTAGTGTTTTCATTGCCTATTTCTATAATTTTAGGAATTTCAAAGTTGTTGACAACAGGTGTGGCTACAAAACAAGGTATTCTGACGTAGGGTGTGGTTACTTGGTGTTTTGGAAAGGAAGATGGCCCATAGAGGTGGAACCGCTGCACCCTGAACAAAGATCAAAGAAGTCAAGCATACTCCTGTGCTCCTTCACTTAAAATAAGAGGTTTGACATAGGGAGTGACTGCCTGCAGGGTACTTGGTCTAGGGTGTGTTCACTGTCCTCAACATCAAATGCTTTACTCAGAAAATAATGGTTTGATGCCTCAGCTATTAAAACAAGTACCTCTCCTGTTGTTCTTTGTGTCATGTTAAAGTAGTCTTTTACCGTTTTCCTCCTCTTTTGTATTGAGGTGTAAAAACATACAAAAAATATAAATAAACATGGGCAAACTCAGAACCCAAAATGCGGCATTCAGTATCTCCTGAGCTGCTCTCTCAGTACTGTCCTATGTCTCTGTGTTTCTTATCTCTGTCCTGCCTACCTAGCATATCTAATCCTCATGCCCCTATTGTAGAGCGTACAAACCTGCCTCGACTGGACTATGGCAGAAGTCACCCCAAAAGGTGGCTTATGACAGCTGTACTTATGTCTGTACCTTATCCAGTCATCATCAAAGAGGCTTCCTCTGGTAGTGTTTAAGAAGAGGTGCAAAGGCACACTATTGGCTTTGCCAGACTGTGGCTAGGAAACTACTCTGTCTTGATAACTTCTAGGAGGACCCTTCATGTGGAGAAAAATGAGGCAACCACAGACTTGCCAGTTGGGAGAGCATTTATGGTGAGCCATTATGGCTCTCCCAGGGGCTAGTTTTAACCTTTTTTGATTCTTTTTGCCCAAATGAACTACTAGAATAGACCAGAAGTGAATACATACCTATGACAGGATGAGAAAAAAAATGAAAACTGAAGATATAACTACTATGATGTTATTTATAAGCTAGATAATTTTTATTCAACTATTTGCTGACTTTGACTCTTTATTTTTTTTAATTTGTTTATTTTACATCCTGATTGCAGCCTCCCCTCCATCCTCTCCTCCAACTCCTTCCTCTCCACCTCTCCTCCTCCCCTAGCCACCCTTTCTCCATATTTTCTCAGAAAGGGGCAGGCCTCCCATGGGTATGAGGAAAGCACATATTAACAAGATGCCTTAAGATCATGTACTTCTCCCTGGGCATGGCAATCCAGCATAAGGAATAGGTGACCAAGAGCCAGTCAAAGGCCTGCTCTCATTGCCATGAATCTCATAAATACTTTGACTCTTATAAGTACTTTGTTTATGAAATGGATCACCATTCTCTGTCCCCTTTAGATGAAAAGATATGTCACTGGGTCCATTAGAGTGATTTGTCCAGAGATAACATGGAGATAATAGTTGTCTAGGAATTACATACAATTTCATTGGTCTCCATCTTTCTTCTATTGCCTTCATCCTGTCCCCCCCCCAAAGTAAGCAGGCCCCAGCATCTTCAGAGCATATGTCAGTTCTTCTTCCATTCTCTTTACACCTCAGACATCACAGTCTAGAGATAGCGCAGATGCTATAGTAGACTGGGGAAAGGGTGTGGCCCATTCTGAACTTTGCACTCAGCTTCTCATCGATTGGGGACTTGAAGATAAAGTTTTGCATGAAAGCAGTAAAGAAAATGAACAGCTCAGATATGGTCAGTTTTCCAGGGCAAGCTTGCGTTCTTGTGGTACCAAAACAGAAGACCAGTCATTTTCTCAGCTCATATTCCTGGCTCCAAGGATTGATAAGCACCTCATTCAAGTCCTGAGTTGACCCTGAAATTTTTATTCAATTACTCATTTATCTGCAATGGGTCTACAAAAGGTATCTGCCTGGGATCCCTCAGAGCACAGAATCTGGAAGTCCTAAGTCAAAAGTCAAATGTCCCTCCCTTCATGGGCAGGGAGCTTTTGGTGAGAGCAGTGTACAGGATGCTAGAAATAAGAATCGTGGCTGACTGAGAAAGCTTAAGAGCTTTCATATCTCAGTCAACCAACATCACTGATACAACAGACCATGATTTGGTGGCAAGATTTCTGATGTTTTTTTTAATACATACAATGAAATACAAATAAGTGTGTCAGCAAAGTGTGCCTAAAGTGAAAGTCATCTTTTTCCTATGAGAAAGAGAAAGAAAGGCATCCTCTTCCACCTTGATTTATGTGAGTGACCTTGATCATCCTTTCTCCAGTATGGACCTAAAAGGGGAACTGAAGAGAGGAAACAGAGGCATTGCAGGGGCTGAGCCATGGGTGAATGTAGAAATTCAATTATTTACCTGACGTCTCCTTGGAACAGAGTAAACCACATTAGCTGATCCCCATTGATGTAAAAGCTAGAACTGTCCCCCAGACAGGCTAGGGAATGCAGATGGGAATAAGAACAATCCTACCCCAAGGATTATCTAAATATGCTATTATAAAAAGGCCATAAAGATATTACAGTCATACCCAGCACTTTCAACCTCTTGATGTGTCCAGTATGTAAATACTGTATATTTACAATTGAATGTACCTTAAAATCATGGCCATCAATAATTGGTTGTTTTAATTGTTTCGCAGAGTTGCTAGAGTTAGTCCTATTCACCCGCAGTAATGACCAGCTTTGCTAGTACGACAATCTTTATTGACTTCCCTTTCTTTCACTTTTGCACTTTCTTGGCAATGTTTGCCAAAATTGTTTCCCTCAAATCCCTCTCTGGAGGCTCTGTATCTCCAGGTTTGTTTTGGGAGACATCTGAAACAAAACATTTGTGACTTCAATGGGTGCATACTTTTGGAGAAAGTGAGGCTATAAAATGTAATCATTTCAAGTATTTTCCTAAATGGAGAGAATAACAAAGAAACATGGAGTTGGATTTTTTTACATGTTTGATAATACTAAGCATGCTTACAGATTTGTAAAAACGTTTCAACAATTTTAGAGATATTAATAATGATGCAAACGATGAGGTACCTAACTGCAGAGAGAAATTCGTGAGATGGTGTGAGAGATGTATGCAGAGAGGGAGCAATCTCTTTAGGAACAGGATCCAGTGGGTAGGAAGAGAGCCCACTATCAGAATAAGTCTTATAAAATCAGTAAAGTCAAAGCTTAGCTGATAAGCATGTGAATTAACTTGGAAAGCATATTAGAGTAAGACAAGAAAGATTGGTTTAATGGAAACATTAGACCACCTGGTATAGAAATCAAGGTTGCTGAGGGAATGAGATCAAGCAAGTAAGTATTGTATGAGAAAGTTATGATTTTTGTAATATTGAGTAGAATGAAAAAAGTAGTTGTGGGAATAAAGAAAGCAAACAGGATGTCAATGAGCAAGGGTGACAGACACTACCTGTATTACCAGTGGGTTAGAGAGGACTGTGCCTCACAGCAACTTTAGCATTGTAAAAGAGAGAAATCAAAGGGTGAAGAGGCATAGACCACTATCTGTTTAGATTCTGGTTATGCTCAGTGTGGTGGTTTGAAACAAAATGCCCTCACAAAGTAAGTGGCACTATTAGAAGGTGTGGCTTTTCTGGGGGTAGGTATGGTCTTGTTGGAGGAAGTGTGTCACTGTGGAGGTGGGCTTTGAAGGCTCTTTTGCTCAATCTTCACTCAGTATGACACTTAGACCATTTCCTCTTGCCTACAAGATGTAGGACTCTCAGTTCCTACTCCAGAACCATGTCTTCCTGCATACTGGTATATGCTTTCTGTGATCATAATGGACTGAACCTCTGAGACTGTTAAATGTTATCCTTAGAAGAGTTGCTGTGGTCATAAGGACTCTTCACAGCAACAGAAACTCTAACTAAGACAGAATTTAGTACTGGGGAATGGAGTATTGTTGTGATAGACCTGACCATGTTTTTGTTTGGAGGAATTTGGACTTTGGTACCTTGGGCTAGGAAGGCAGTAGAATGTTTTAAGCCCTGCTTAATGGGCCATACTAGTAAGAACATGGAAGACAATGATGCTGAGAATGATTTGAACTGTGGGGATCAAGATGTTTTAAAGTAGAATTTGATATGTTGCCTAGAGATGGTTCTTGTTGCCCTTTTCTGAAAAGTTTGCCTGAGGCTATAGTGAAGAGTTGTCTTGGCAGAAGAAATATCAAAAGAGCCTAGTAATACTCTGTCATTGGTTACTAGTGGTAACTCTAATGAAGATTTATAATGAAAGGGAGCAAGCTAAGCAGGGTAAATTACAAAATGTAAAATTTGAGAAAAGATGCGTGAGGAAGTGGAATAGTGGTAAATGCTATGTTTAAGAAGATAAATGGAAAAAGAAATGGAATAAAGGGAGTGGTGACCTCAGGACAAGATCCCACTGAGGTAAGTTTCCAACTTATAAAAAGGAATTAAAGCAAAGCAGGTGTAATGTTGCAAGCCTTTAATCCCAGCACTCAAGAGGCAGAGATCTCTGAGTTTGAGGCCAGCCTGGTCTACAAGGAAGTTCAAGGACAGTCAAACTTAGTCGGTAAAGACAACAATCAATTAAGATATGTGCTTCCCTGCTCCCCTATCCAACCTTCCTTTATCCCAAACATCCCGTTTCCCAAGTTCCCCCCAACCTCCCCTTCTCACTTTTCTCTCCCCATCTCCCCTTACCCCCTCCCACCCCACCCCCAAGATCCCATTTTTTGCCCGGCAATCTTATCTACTTCCCATAATCAGGAGGAAAGCTATATGTTTTTCTTTGGGATCACCTTCTTATTTAGCTTCTTTAGGAGATCAAATTGTAGACTCACTGACCTTTATTTATCTCTAGAAACCAATTATGAGTGAGTACATCCCATGTTCATCTTTTTGGGTCTGGGTTACCTCACTCAGGATAGTGTTTTCTATTTCCATCCATTTGCATGCAAAATTCGAGAAGTCATTGTTTTTTACCGCTGAGTAGTATTCTAATGTGTATAAATTCCACACTTTCTTCATCCATT